TGCACGAGTAGGTTCTGGACTGGACTTGACAATGGTCTATTATTCTCTACGGCCACCATATGTACGTGTTTTCAATTAAATTGTAATTAATGCAAAGTGTTTCGGGCCAGCTTGTCCGTACCTCGGACGAATTGCTACCGCCTCTCCCACAACTGTTTCACATGCTTATGCATGATGTGAGCGTAACCACTTGGCTAATCCCTTGGGGTTAACAAAACATACTCCATATTGTTTATCATATCGTTCTCTGTTACTATATCCAGGTTCAAATAGATTACAGTTAACAAAGTAATTAATAAAACCTAGTAGTATACATTTTATGATAGAGATTGATGACTCTTGACCATAAATAGCTTTAAGTTGCACACATTATACGGTTGGGGCATTAATAGGGCAACCTGGACATGAGATGGATATGGCAAAGTGGACACGAAAAAACAATAAGTGTTCGATTATTAGGTAGTATGTTCGAATCTCACGGAAGTTAATCATTCCAAACCTTGAGGCCACTCGGAATTATGTTCGATCATTATCTTCAGGGCCTTGAAATTAACAGAGGTGCCTGACGTATATCTAATCCGTTGTTATGAGTAGTTGTCCGCATGGGGTCCACGTAATTGTCCGAACTTGAAAGTTGGCAGAGCTTTGGTACCCCATTTGGGTGATATGGTCATCCAAAAGTCGTGGATGCAATTCCATTCAAATCTTTCATACTAAGGTCATGTTTCGCTAAGGAAAATAAGTAATTATTTTTTAAATAAAAAATGCTAGGGGTGCAGCAAACCTTGTACGGCAGATGTGCACAGATTCATTTTGCGCCCGTCTCAGGTTCTACAAAGATAAGCGGCTCCGATCATCTTTGTGGGACTTGAGACGGGCACAAAAATGGATCTGTACGCGGTTGCTGTACAGAGTTTGTTGTACCTGTAGCACTACTGTTTTCAAATAAGTACTTATTTTTTAAATTAAATGTGATATATTATGAAAAAATGATATGTCTCGTAAATCGAAAAATAAATACTTTAAAAAAAAACATTAGCGAAACGGCGCCTAAAAACCAATTCCAGTGATGTCTCATCCATATTCCATACCCTTTCGGCCCTACCTCAAATTGTGGGGCAGGCTGGCCCAATACGAATTACAACCACAAAAGTATATAAGCCTCCGTTTCGGCCACATAATATTGTGTGGCAAGGGGCCTAAGAAGCCTTAATTTGCCCCTGCAAAAGCTAGCTGTTTTTTATACTCTTGCAATGGATAGAGATTGGTTAGTTATCTTGTAGGCACAAAATTGGCAAAGCTTTGATCTCACCACCAAGCTCTCCTCTACGCCTTCATTTCCCTAATTTGGAAGTTACTTTTTTAGATTGTAATGCTTTTGTTTTATCCTCGAGGCCCCGATTGCCGATTGCATGCAGGCATTGCACCCCCTCCATACATTGCACCCCCTCCATAGCTCATCCATCCGGGTGAGAGGATGATGGGACTGGTTTGTCTCCTCCATATCATTCTTTTGTCGCGATTATTGCAAATTGCAGGGAAAAAAACAACGTGATCGCAATAGAGGAGCTAGAATTTTGGAGATCGAAAAAGGTCACGCCCATCAAGAAGTTCAACAGTAGCCATTTAAATTACCGTATCAAATACAAATTCATTCAAAAGCTCACAATTTCATTGGTGCATAGGTTTTAAGTTGACCTTTAATTTACTTTCGATCTTCAGATAAAAATACGCGCATTTGAGAAATATCCGCATTACCGTATTGTATCTAACTATTTTTGCTTTATGAAGGTAGAAATATCTTCTTCTTCTTTTGGATCAAAGGAAATATCTTGCTTTCGCCTATATCCTGCTAGCTCAGGGGAAGCCTCAGCTTCTGATATATCAATAAAGGAAAGGATAAGTTTGTGACTTGGTATTCATGTGCAATGACTGTCAATTTGGGTTTTATTGTTAGAGTTTGTGAGTTGGTGTATGGCTTAAATTTTACGGAGTATGAGCTTAGAAACTCAATAGGAGTATAAAGGAAAGACACTGCAAAGGGAGTTGCATACTTGGATTCTAGAAAACAATTTCTTTGTCCAAATGTGTTTGTTATAGTAGTTTTATTTTTATTTTTATCGGCAAAAGAAAGTTTTATTAATCTCCGCAATATTACAAAGATTAAAAGGACAAGGGCAATTGGGAATTAAAATTACTTAATCTCTAAGGCTACTTTATAGTAGTTTCTGTAACAACCCTGATTTTTGGTAAATAAAATTTTCGTTAAATATTTGAATTTTATTTTAATTACTTGGATTTGCTTTTAAAAATCCCTTTTTAGTCTTTAATAAACCGTCATAATTAGATTTGAGACTTTTAAAATTATATGTTTTTGCACCGGACGATCTAATCATTTTCTAAAGACAAGTATGCTTGTAAAAGCACTTGTTTATTTTCCTAGTGAGTTAATAAAACCTTTAAAATTATATTTCTTGGCTAGAAATCCTACATGGCATGTAGAATTAGTTTCCAACCGATTAGTTGAGGAAACCAAACTACCGATTCACTTAGTTACATTTTCCTAACCTTAGATGGACCTTTTTGACCATCTTTGAACCTTGTGAACCCCTTCCAACCCTAATTGAACCATTAGGCCATTAGTAGTAATCATCATACTACATGATTAGTCATTTCAAAACCACACTCATGACTTACCTCATTACCCATTGGTTAATAGATGTTAGGAAAAATTTTACCCCTTGGTTAATAGAAAATAGTCTTGCCAATGAATACTTAGAATGACAAGATAAGTCACTTAAGAATCCTTGAACCATAGGAAGCCATCATTTTGCTTCCAAAAGAAGCAAACCTAGCCTTGCCATGCATGCACACCTAATATAATCATGCCTAATTGTCTAAGTACACTTTCTAGGAAATTCATTATCCTTTGGTCAATAATTGCTAGGGAAATATTTACCCCTTGGATAATAAAAGTTAGTCATGCCAATGAATGCTTAGACTTGACTAGACTAGTCAAAATCAAATCCCATCATTTTGCTTCCATAAGAAGTAAACCTAGCCTAATATAAGCATGCCTAATAGCCCTTAAGCCTAATCCTAGTTGACAACCCATTTCTAGTCAACTTTAAACATAACCTAGCCAATGACTTGGTTCTTTCTTGCAAGCAAAGCCTATAGGACAAGACAAGCCATGCCTTTCATGATTGTCCCTTTATCCATTGGACAATAATTGTTAGGAAAAAATTTATCCCTTGGATAATAAGCCAAGTTTTGCTATAAATAGCACCTCATTCTTACCATTTCAACTCACACCTTCAATTTTCAACTTCTCTCTCTAAGAAAGTCTTGTGTTCTTACTTTGTTCTTCTTGTTCTTGAGTTGTTCTTGAGTTCCTCCTAAAGTCTTCAAGAAACTCATCCTAAACCACCCTTTCGATCCGTAGAGTCTAGTAGTTTTAGTCAAGAACTAGTTTCGAGAGAAACCTTTCTCTTTCGAAGCTACCGGAAGCTCACCGTAGGAAGTTACTCCGTCCGACGTACTTACTTTTTTCCGTAGCCGTACCTACCGCCAAGAAGAACGGTAGATTAATCTTAACCTCTATCTCTAAGTATACGTAGTATTTTCCTTATCCGTTAAACTAAAAGAAAAATGGTATTTTACTTGTATGTTCAAATGCATGCTAACAGAAGTATTCGTATTTTGATCTTTAGATGGTTATGAGCATGTATACGTGATTATTAGAATTAATTGATTTGGTGTTTAATAAAGCATAAGTGGCTTTCCACTCCATAGGCGTCCGTACATGTGGCATTATGCTTTAAGTTGTGATTTAAGCATGACAAGTAATATAGAGTTGGATGATCTTGCTAGTTTAGTTTAAAGATTACAATGAATGATTTATGTTTACTTGTGTGAAAAGTCCTACCGCGGAGTCTATGCATGAAAACGAGACACGAGAATCGAGAAAGTTAGAAATATGACACCTAGGGTGTGTTAATGACAAGGTGTGTTTTGAAAAGGAGAAAAAGTTTTGAAACCGCAATGTGGCCGGACTTGCCCGTTGTGTGGTGTGCGTGTGTAAAGAAAGATTTGTGAAAAACCCAATGAAAACCCGGAGCGGCGGAATCATTGTAGGGATACTCGGGAACCCGAAGCGGCGGAACCGAGGGATGAATTGTGGGTTGGTTATCCGTGGAGAGGAGCCAACGCAATTGTTTTAATGATTTTCGGAATTTCCTATGGGAACCCGGAGCGGTGGAACCATGGTGAAGATACTCGGGAACCCGGAGCGGTGGAACCGAGGGTTTTGAATTGTGGATTGGTAATCCGTGGAGAGGAGCCAATGCCAAATTCAATGTTTTGTGTGCCAATGGGAACCCGGTGCGGCGGAACCATTGTGAGGATACTCGGGAACCCGAAACGGCGGAACCGAGGTTGGGTGTGTTAAAATACTTTTCGAAATGTTGATTTGGTAAATGTAAAGTGAAGATGATGACACGGTCTACGAAATGCTGCGTAGGAGAAACTCTGATGCCACGGACACCAACGATAGTTGAATAGCGAATGTGGGTGTATCATTGTCAACTGTTTTGTTAGATAAACATGTTCTCAATGGAAATGGTTACCTGTATGATCTATTGTTTATAATTTATGGGTTAGCGGGTATGAGATTATTCTGCTGAGCTTATGTAGCTCATAGTGTTACCTTTGGTGACCCTGACATATTATATCGGTGGCGACGCTGGTATAATGTGTCAGACTTTGTAGATGATCAAGGTGAGCTGTACACCTTGGAGGCCTTTGGAGTAAAAGAGCTGGTTAGGATGGAGGAGCAGACAGAGCTGTAATTAGGAACCCTAGTTTTCCTCCCTTGTGTAATTAATGAACTCTTGTGAGAGATATGATGCAATAATGAGCCAGACTCTATTTAGATTTTCAATAAAATTGTCCTTTTAACGTTCCGGAAAATGGGAGCGTTACAGTTTCTCTGATTAACCCCAAGGGTTTGGCCAAGTGGTCTTGGCCTGGGACTTAGGTGTTTGCTTCATCCTAAGATCTCAGGTTCGATTATCCTGGCCAACAACTCTTGGGGCCACCTCACCCCAACGCATAAGCGTGTGGAACGGCTGTAGGGATTAGTTCGAGGTGTGCGCAAGCTGGCCCGAAACACCCTGCATTACCAAATAAAAAATTTCTCTGGTTACCCTAGGAACTCAGTTTGAGAGACTTGGCAGGTTCGAAAATCAAATTTTGGCAAAATATCAAGTTCTGTAGTTTTCTAATATCCACTCGATAACCCTCCGTTCCAATTTTTTTTAATTCTTTTTGGGATTTTGTGTCACTTTTTAATTGATTATATTTCTAGTTTGTAATGTTATAGGTGATTTTGAAAATTTTATTTAATAGAGTAATACTAATTGAGATTTATCAAACAAGATCTATTGAAGCATTACCAATTGAAAAATATATCCAATTTACTGTCCAGTTAGCATGGAACGGCGACAAAAAAATGGGGATGTAGGGAGTACAATATAAAATACCTACGACACTCGTATTCTGCATCGGATCTATTGCATGGAAGATTGCTTTAAAACATCTTAATGAAATAACCAAACAAAGCTTGCATTTCCGAAGTGATTAAGTTTTCAAATGCTTATAAAAAATAATAATTAAGTTTTCAAACCAGAGTCTACTCTTACCGCTCTGTTTACCTCCCCCCATCACTATCAATCTCACCGTCGAAAAGTGCTTCGAATGATTTAGATTTTAAAAGAACTCTTCCAGGGAAGAAGAAGCTCTTCCCGGAAAGAGTTTTTTTTTAAAATCAGGACCATTGATTACTGAGACGGACGGTGAAATTGACGCTGTGGTGGGGGGAGCGGTGAAAAATAGTTGACTGTGTAGGCTGTAATTTTGGTTTTTGTAAACCTGTTGAGGCTGGGCCCAAGAAATCAATGATGTTTACAATCCAGGCCTAATCTTTATTCATGGGCCTAATGTTCACCGCATAATCTACACAGGTTTGGCCCAATACTAACATCTTCTTCTTCTTCTTTTATTTCACGAAGGCCCATTAAGTTGCTGACCCAATCAAAGCGTATCTGCCCAACATCCGGCCCATGCGACTAGGGTTTCAAACATTTCGCTTCGGAAACGCACCACTATATATACGGACAGACGCCCTCTCCCTCCATTTTCTAGGGTTTCCAGAGGGCCGAATCGCAGATCCTGTCCTAAAGCTTCCGCAATGGGGAGGAGTAAGTGCCTTTTCTTCTCTCCATGTGAATATCCACAATCTTTGCATATACGTTTACGCTCGTGGTTGTATATAGATGCGTACGTTTTGTGGTGAATTTTTATTCCTCGAGCTTGTATTTGCTATCCTCGATCATGTAAATCGACACATACGGTGCTTTGCTCCGGCTTTGATTGGCCTCCGTTAGTGGATGGTGAGATTGTTCTTCTAAGATTAGTCGAGGTGCGATTAAGTTGGCCCTGGCCCGGACACCTGAGTTGTGAAAAAGGAAGGAAGAAGCTGTGAGTCGATTGTGTATCTGAATTTCGGAGGTGTATGGTTTACCTGTATTCAGAGTCGATTTGAGTATCTGGACTTTCTAATCTAAAATTTGAGATTCTCAAAGATTTGGACCCGAGTTTTCTGGTTGCGTATTTGTATGTAAAGCTTTTAATTCACTTGATTTTTTATGTGAAAACTTTTTTCCCAATCACGTGTGGGTGTGGTTGTTGAGAAATGAAAGGAACATGATTTGTTTTGTGGTATTCTGATTGAAGGCAGGAATAGTGTGGCTAACTATGTACTGATTTCAATTTTACATCATTTACACTTGTGATTATGCTTTCAATTATGTCCATAAGCTCAGTTTCGGTTCAGAGAGGGTTAATTCATTATGTTCTGGGAGCTGGGTATTTTAAAGCTATTGATTTGTTATCTTTCTTTTCCAAATGGGTCTCCCCTAGCTCATTGTTTTGGATTTGGTCTTAGCAACAGATTGGCTTTACTACTGTATATGGTGGATCATTCAATGACTGTATATGTATGTAGCATGTTTATCTTTCATGGGTATGTGTAGTCAATATGTATTGTGTTTATGTGAAATGTATTGTGTTGTTTATAATAGTTTTTGTGCTATTTGGATGTTGTATGCGTTACTCTACTTCTGTTTCTTTTGGAGATGCTTTTGGAACTGAGTGTAGTATTGAAGATGCATATGTAGCATGTGTAATACAAATTATAAGGTTTTATTGTCTAGCCTTCGGTTTCACTTTTGAACGTAGAATACTGATGATTTTCATATTCTTTTCACTTCTATAGGACCAGCAAGGTGTTATCGCCAGATCAAAAACAAGCCTTACCCAAAATCCAGGTACTGCCGTGGTGTGCCGGATTCAAAGATTAGGATCTACGATGTAGGAATGAAGAAAAAGGGAGTCGATGAGTTTCCCTTCTGTGTCCATTTGGTCAGTTGGGAGAAGGAGAATGTCTCCAGCGAGGCACTGGAAGCTGCGCGTATTGCATGCAACAAGTACATGACCAAGTTTGCCGGAAAGGATGCCTTCCACTTGAGGGTGAGGGTGCATCCCTTCCATGTTCTGCGTATTAATAAGATGCTTTCGTGCGCTGGAGCTGATAGGCTCCAGACTGGAATGCGTGGAGCTTTTGGTAAGCCCCAAGGCACATGTGCAAGAGTTGCCATTGGTCAGGTCCTTCTCTCTGTCCGTTGCAAAGATACAAACAGTCAACATGCTCAGGAAGCCTTGCGCCGTGCGAAGTTCAAGTTCCCTGGTCGTCAAAAGATCATTGTCAGCAGGAAGTGGTGCGTAGAAGTTTCTTAATCTTGCTAGCATTACAATTTCCGTATTAACTGTGGGTGCCTGAAGTAGGAAAATGCAGTAGGGTGAGTGTTTGGGTTTCCAATTTAGACGTGAGGAGAATTGCTGTGACAATTAGGAGTTGTATCCAAGAGATGGGGAGATTGCCAGAATGCCCACAATTAATTGTTCCTGTACTGTTTACTAAGTTATCGAGATATATGTATATCATTTGTGTTTTTGTTTTATTGATATGACTTTTGTGACCTCATGACTAGTTAGACTAATAGACTTCTTTGGAATGGCAGGGGATTTACTAAGTACAGCCGTGCCGATTATCTGAAGTGGAAATCAGAAAACCGCATTATGTCTGATGGTGTCAATGCCAAGGTAATCTGTCAGAACTTGCCCAGGAGAAAGTTTTCTTCTATTTTTTTCAGGAATCTATTATTTCTACCGTCTTTGGTTGGTGATCTTTTGTCGGCTATGCCTTGTATAGTGTCTTATGTGCACTTGCCAATCTAGTAGGTTTTGGTTTTACTATATTTAGATCAGGCATTATAAAACTCAAAAGGGTTTTGGTTTAACTTTGTCAGCTTCTTGGATGTCATGGACCCTTGGCTCAGCGCCAACCTGGAAGAGCATTTCTTGATGCAGTCGCTTAGAAGTAATGTCAACAGAAGATTCCTGGGCATTAGGCTACCATTTCCCATATGAGTTTCTAGTTATCTGTAATGTGGTATCTTGATCTGAAGAACTTGCAATGTCTTCTTTTCTGCATTTTATTGCTTTCCGGGGGACTTTTGTTAGCCCTCTACATGATGTTGGAAACTTGGAGGATTACTTTGCTTAAATTTTGGCAGATTTTGGGTGATATTTATCAGTTACTTTTTGGTTGCTGTATTTCTTACATTGTGTGGCTTTTCATCATTGGTTGGTTGGGCCGTGGGTAATTTGGTTCCCAGCGCTGCAATGTTTAAGCTTGATTGTGTTAAATTTTCAACACAGTTGATCTGTGCAAGTGTTGGCTTGGGCATCATTTGGCATGGGTCTTTTGTTAGTACTTTAGATATTGTTTCATGATCCGTTTTTGGTTTCAGGGGAGTTTGACCAGGGAATGTCCTCCAGATAGTTGCAAGAGAATTGATTGATATTAACAACAATCCTCTTTTAGCCAAATGTGTTTTTTTCCGTCTTTATTCAATTGGAAGTAATCAACTGATTGATTACTCTTTCCACGAATGTAAAAAAGAATCGAATTCTGGGAGAAAATTATCCTTTGGAAGATAGGTCATCTGAGAAGAAAGATACTCCCACCGTATCTTTTTAAGTATCCATTACGGATACTCCTTCCGTATTTTTCCAAGTGTTCATTATGGATACTTCCATCGTATCTTTTGATAATGCGTCGAAAGTGACGGAAGTATCACGATGGAAATAAAAGTATTGGCAAAATGCAATGTAATGAATATACAGTACCCTTTTCTTTTCTTTTGACAAGCAGGTACCCTTGATGTATGTGTAAAATGTGAAAAATTGAAATGGGTGTTTGAACAGCACGTTACGTGGCAGACTGGCAGTGGCCCAAGAGCACCCATTTATATTTCCTATGATATGATAACGTGGTAGCACAAAATTAAGTTATGAATGAATCAGAAAATCTGGGTACAGTCCTTTTAAGAATTTACTTATGCAACTTTACTTCTTAGACTTGCAATAACAGGGAGTATCATAGTAGCAATAACAGTAATGGCAATAGACAAAACCACCAAATTAGTCTAATAAGCACTACAACTTAGATTTGCAGGTTCTTCAACACAGTGGTTCTACAATAATCACCTGACCCTATATATACTACCGCAAAATTTGCATCCGTATGCCGATGCATATATCCTCTAGCTACATATGTTTTGAACCAGTTGAGTTTCAGGAATTTTTCTCTGTCGAAATAACCCAGCTTTCTGAAAATCATTCTTGTTGCTTTTTCATTTTTTCTTCTGCCTTGCAGTTTTTGAGGAGCTCACTACTTTCTTTGATCTCGTGGAACGTTTTGGTTCTGCCTTACCGTTCTGATCAGGGTCTTTGGCCCCATCTGATGTACTTTTAGCATCACAATCCCCAACTGCAGTATCATCTTCTTCATCTTCACTTGAGCAGTTGGATGCTCTCACTATGTAAACCTGCAATATTAGCACATAAAAGAGGTATAATGTTTTCCTCGACATTCCGTAATTCTTAAGGAAATGCATTCCAGAGACACG